AGGGAAAGGCCGCTTTTCAGATGACTATTTTTGCCAACCCTCAAACTATACTTATTACGCTGAACTCTCCTTCAAATGTAGTAATTTGGTAATGCAAGGAGCTAGAGATAACTATAGATTAAAGTGAGTTAGGTTTGTACTGTGTAATACAAGTATGAAGTTCGACACATTGCTTTGCACACAGTGGTACCCGATACCGAATGGGTGTCACGTGCTTATGTTTTATGCTAATGTCCAAGAGTACGTGCCCTTCCAGGACATGCGTTCCTACTAGACTGTCAACTCCTTGAGTATAGAGAATGGATTCCATTTTTGTAATCCCAAAGCGTGACACAAAGCCTCAAATGGGAAGTATTTTTTGGTCTTGGTTGAGGGGTATTCGCCAATGGATAAAGTCTACTGGATTAGGCTGTATAGTCACAGCATCCCCCTAGGTCCCTTTAACACCATTACTTGTCCAGTCCACAGAGGCTGGGCTGGCTTGGAAGTGAAAATGACTGCCCTAGGAGGCTGGGTCTATCCTCGCAGTAACCCTACTGGACCCTTAAAACATCTCAATTGTTCAGAATCCTATGAAGGTAAGACCCTGGGGTTTTTTGTTTTTTGTTTTTGATTCAGACTGTTTAAGACATTCAAAACCTGTTTCAAATTTATGTTTCCATCACTTACTAGCTTTGTACTCTGTACTTACCTTGTAAGATTTGGTAAGCAGTGAATGAGGTGAGGTACCTGGCACGTCGTAGGTGTTAAGGAAATACTGTTTTCCTTCCCTGTCCACTCTCATTTACTCATAAGGTTACCAAGAAAAGGCTCTAGACACAGAAATGTTTAATCATTTCTTGAAATGATTATTTCTAGGTTTCTAAAATAAAAAAAAACAAAACATCTAGCTCATAGGTTTGTCGTAAGGATCACTGAGATAATGTGCTTAGCAATGCTGGTACCTAGTAATCACTCAATGTTAGTTCTTATTACCTTACTAAAGTGGCTGTAGACCATCATGGGTCTTTGGATCATCTATGAGGTAGCCTCAGAGACCCAGGTATCCTGAGGGACCACTGAAATGGTGCAATCCTTTTGTTATTGTTTATCCCATGAACCTGAAGGGGCATGACTAGGAATGTGAGGCTAATAACACAGCACATCATTATTATAATATGGTATTTGGGCAGCTGCTGCCTTTTCTGTTGGAAAATTATCCTGTTCACTCCCTGATCTCTTTCACGTTTCTTCTTTGACCTCTCTCTGGCCTTAACCTCTTCTGCCTTGTCCATATTCTAACCCAAACTTTGTCTTTTTTCTACCCTTTATTTTCTACCCTCTTCCTCCCTCCTAGTGAAGTAGGAATGAAGTCAAGAATATAGATGGTGCAAATGCTTGGTTATAAAAGATACAGATGACAACAGGATGCCTGGCAATCACGACATCATGGGTATATAGCCGCTTACAAGTAGAGGTAGCTTGTGGGTACTAAGACAGACAGGTTTCTGGTTTAATATTGCTTGACTGGTGAAATCAGTCAATACCCCAGGATTTGACACAATGAGGGATGAAGTGGAAGCCATACTAAGTCAAATGGCCAGATTAAAGAAAATACTAGTTGATTAGACTGACAAACACAGGTTAAAGATTTTTCCCCTTAGAATAGCTTACTTTCTAATCACTAAAGTAACATTCGCTAAAATATACAAAGATATATAAAGTAGAAAATATGTAAAAGTATAAAGATCAAAATAAAAATGATCTATAATCATTTTCTCCCAAGATGACTCACCATTAAAGTTCTAGATACTTTCTCAATAACTTCTTTTCTAATCTATTGCATCTCTCTATATTATATATATATATTATTGTCTTTTTTCCTAATCTTACATCATTTGTCATTTTCCTTGTTTAAATTATTATGAGGTTTTTAATGGCTTTATAATATTGCATTGACTGATGTACCATAAAGATTTAATTATTCTCATGTTGAATAATTAAATTCATATTGTTTCTAGTTATTCATTGTTAAAAATAACACTACTGTGAACAGGTCAATTTGGGTTGTTGTTTTGTTTTGGTATCGTGGCTGTAATTGTTTGGTTTTGCTTTTTTGCTCTGTGTTGGTATACAAATCTTAATGTATACCTCATCTCTAATTATTTCCATAGAGTGAATTCCTAGAAATGAGATTATTGAGTCAAAGTTCATAAAAATTTGAAATGCATATTATCTAATCACTTTCCAGAAATATTTATCAATTTAAATTACCCTAATAAACTAATTTTTTAAAACACCCTTTGGAGGGGGTTGGGGAGAACATAATTCAAGGTCAAGGCTTCCTTCCTTCTTTCCTTCCTTCTCTTCGTTTTTCTTTTCTCTTTTCTTTCTTCCTCTTTCTTTTCTTTCTTTCCTCCTTCTTTCTTTCTTTTCTTTCTATTCTTTCCTTCCTTCCTTCCTTCCTTCCTTCCTTCCTTCCTTCCTTCCTTCCTTCCTTCCTTCCTTCCCTCCTTCTCTCTTTCTTTCTTTCCTTTTTTCTTCTTAACTAAGAGTTACTTTGGGGTGAATCATTTTAAGTACTGGGACTTTCTCTTGTGCAGCCCTGGGCTCAATTCCAGTAAATGTCACACAAGAACCTGTTCTGAAAACTATGGAAGTGATATAAGACCCAAAACCTGGAAGTACTAAGAGGAAGAATGATTGAGAAAAGGGTTGGCTAGGTTAGTTCAATGCCTACTGCTACCTGATTCAGAAAATGGAATGCACTCCAGAGCTAGGAGAGTAAGGTAAATTCAGGTTTGGCAAATGGATGAGTTTCTCTTTGTTTCTAAAATTGATATGGAGGAAAAAGAATGGAGGCTTATGAAGATGGCAAGTTAGATTGCTCAGAAGAATAGAATCTTCATCTTTCTCATCCTGCTGCCATCAACAATCCAGTATAAAACTTGTATTGTCAATTGCAGGCATTAGTGTTTTACTGAGGGGAAAAAACACACACGCACACAGTGGGAAAGGGGAAAAGAAATGTAAGGTGTCGTCATTGCCACTGAGAGAGGTTATACCTGGTTACTCCTACTGATTCTTCAAATCTCAGCTTCTAAGTAACTTCCAAGGTAGGCCTTCCTTGACCCTGATTAGTTTATATCTTACCCTCCAAAGCAACATATATTTGTTCTTTTTTGGACCTATGTGACATCTTTAATTACCTATTTGGTTCTGTCTTCTCCATTAAACTCTAAACTCCTGAATGACAAAGACTGCGTCTGCTCTGTTTACTGCTTTACTGCTAACACCAGCACAGTGTGTGACACGTGGCACACACCTGACACACATTTATCACACTGAATTGCACTGACATATATTCTAATTGTGGCTTTATGAGCAGTAGCCAAAGAGAAAAAGAAAATGAAAACAAAATTCCAAATTAATGTAATTGGCTCCATCACTTGCAATCGGGAAATGGCAAAAGATTGTGTAAGTACTGAGGGGCTGTAGAACAACTAAGTGACTGCCATGAAGTCTTTTTTGGACAAAGTGAGCAAGAAAGTTTTGAGGGTGGTGATCTAACATGCTTCTAATGTGTTACAAATAAAAATTATTAGTGAAAAAGGAGTTGCTCAGTTTGGTACCCAAAAGAGGGCAGAGGGGGTATAAAATGAAGAAAGAAAAGGTCATACTCAATACATTGAAAAATGCTTGCCACATACCAAGTGTAGAGTATACAATCTGTGAATAAGACATGGTCCTTGCCTTAAGGAGTTGACTCTCTCGAAAAGTTGACTCTCTTGTAAGTTGATAATTATAACGCAAGTTGGTGACTGCTTTGATAAAGTGGTGGAGTTAAGAAAACCTGAAGAGAAAGGGATAATCTGGGTCTTAAAGAATTGGATAGTTGAAGGGAGGGCAAAGTTTTTTCTTGCACTGAGAATGGCACTTGGTAAGGCCCATGTCTAGGCCTGGCCTGCCAATTAGATTACCAGAGACAATGGAGGTGTTTAAGTAACAGAATGAAAAGTTCAAATGTACATTTTGTTTGTTTTAAAGTGACTAGATCTTTGGGGAGAAAAAAACCACATTCTAGTTAAACATGCCTAGATTCCTGAGCCAGATTCCCTAGGCTTAGATTCAAGCTGTGCTAATTAGTGGCTGTGAGCACTTCTCTGTACATTAGCTTCCTTAGCTGTAAAGACTGGGCTAAAAATAGCAACAGTTTCATCCTGGAGTTATGGTGGGGGGGGGAGGGAAGCTAATATAAAAAGAAAAGCATTTAGAATGCTGTCTGTACCATGTGTTAGCTGTTATCATGATTAGGAAGTATTTCCCCTGGTCATACTCTATAGCAGGGGTCCCTGACTCTTGGGCTGAAGACCTCCACTAGTCTGCCACCTGTTTAGAACCAGGCTGCACAGCAGAAGGTGAGTGGCTGGCAAGCAAGCGAAGCTCATCTGGATTTGCAGCCGCTCCCCAGCGCTAGCATCACCACCTCAGCTCCACCTCAAATCAGTAGGCATCACATTCTCATAGGAGCACTGTCTCTGGTGTCAAGCTGGGGACCGCTGCTCTACAGTTTATTACTTTTTATAGGTAAGCGACTGTTTTTGTGTTCCATTTCATTGCCTTTGCCTCAGGACCAATTTTTGTTTTTGAATAAGTGGAGCCATGCCAAGATTCAAACATCCTTAAGAGATGGTTATGTAGCATTTAAGTTCAGTTCAGAACGTACAGGAATTCAGAGTTTGTCCTATGCAAGGTAGCACAAATGCTCTTTTTGCCCCAAATTTGGAAGTGGATCTGACTGTAGACATGAAGAAAGTCATTTTCAAAGATTAACCAATTGCCTACTTAATAAGAAAAAAATCTTATAATAATCTCAAGTACAAGGTAATCAAGAAATAATCATCCTGGTGATATGGAAGAGTCAGTGGCTTAGGCCTTCTATAATTTTAGCAATATGGAAACTCACAGATAACAAGCAGTTTATTGAAGAGTTATCTTCAGGAAAATTACTTTCCACACCCAAAATTTTCTTGAGCCCTTTTAAATTTGACCTATATTTCAAACAACTAAATTCGTTGATACCAGTGAGGAATGTTGTTGGGGAAAGAACCAAATTTTGGTTTCATGATGGAGACAAACTAAAGCGATTATTGATAATTAAGAAGATTGGAGAACACAGGATTTGGAGACCAGGAATTTAACTTTGGATTTCATCACTTCTAAGCTGTGATTTGGCACAGCCACTTAATTACTTTAAGTTTCAGTTTTGTTATTTTTAAAAACAAGGTCATACAATGTCCATGAAAGTGTTCGGACACATAATTATTAGCAGATAAAATGTAATATTTGGGGTGAAAAATGATAACAGTTGCCATACTTCCTTAAACTCAGCAAAGTGTCTAGTATGGGATTGCAAGGAAGTTTAGATTTCATGAAGACATGCCATCTCCTCCCCAGAGGGTGACTGGCTTTTGACATGTCCAAGGACACAAAGCTGGTTAGTGGCAGCCAGAATTTAGGTCTCCAGATTCTAGTCACCTGGTCTTCCTACTACATTGTTGTCATCATTCATTCATTACATACATTTGTATGGAAGATAATTAAGTGCAAGGCATTGAGATAGGAGCTATAGGTGATTGTGATTTATCAGACAGAGATCTTTCTCTCAAGAAACACAGGGACTAGTGGGATGATAAGACTTAACCGTAAGTGTATAGTCAGAGACTGGGACAAAAATGTATGAATAAACTATTACGTGATTTCGTGAGTATCAAAGGAGACTTGGTGGAAGGAGTGACAATTCAACTGTGCTCCAAATAGCAGAAAAGATTTGTACATAAGGCATAGTGTTTACAGTAGGCAGTCCAGGTATAAGCAATAGAGTGAATAAAGGTACTGGTCTTAGGTCTCAGTGCATACTAGGGAGGTTTCGATATTTTATAATAAAAGCCATCTGCCACTCAGACTCTTGTTTTGCTCTTTAGAATTGTCTTGGACACAATTCATGTTTAAATTCCCCAAGGTCACCTCCTCTCCTCTAGGTGGCCTGGAAGATAAGCCAAGATCAGGAGGCAGGCTGGATAGCTTTGACACATCCTACTCACAACAACAACAAAAAAGCCAGACTCTCCGGGTTGCCTGCACTTTTCTCTTAAAGGTGTACTTTCACTTTAATAAAACTTGTGCTTTCTTGCTTGCTGTTTGTTGATTCTTGAATTCTTTCTCTTGGCTTAAGGCAAGAACCTGGTCATCTGAGCTCCAGGTTCAGGGTCCCTCTTTGGACTCCCACCCTGTCAAGCTTTCCAGCATCTTCTTCCACTTATAAGGACCCTCATGATTACACTGGGCCACTCAGATACTCCAAACGTGATAGACATTTAAACTTTAAATACCAAAAATTTATGAGGACTTATTGAGAGTGTGGGGTCTGGGCAAAGCTACTCTTCGCTGATCTCACTACCTAGCTCTCCAAAGATCTTGAGACACTTCGGCTGTGATCAGGCTGCCCTTGGTTGGCAGCGGCAGTAGCATTAAATCACGTAGCCGCATCAGGAAGAGAAGGGACATCTGTTCCTGTCTTAGTGAGGTCACTCCTCTTAGACAGTGGTACATACCCTGTACAGGTCCCTGGAAGAATAACTTTAGGCGCAGCCTATTTTGCCTGCCAACACCGGTGCAAATATCTGCTAGCTATGTGCCCCAGCAATTAGTGACCTAACCTGGCAGCTGATACTCAGCTTTTAGTTGGAAGGACTGACTCTGTGGAGAACCAACTTGTAGAAAAGTTATACCTCACTAAATTTACAAGCTATTTCTTTCATCTCCCCTTTGCCTGGAACAATAGTGTAATCTATCATTGGTTTGTAGTGTTATTTATCAGCTTATTAAGAAACATCTTATATGCTACTGGCTTGTGAAATATTGCTATGATAAATTATAATTCCCACAGTGAACCTGTGTTAAGTATCTGGAAAAAAACAATCTCAATCTCTGAGCATAATTTACCCTGAACAAAACACCCTCATACAATCCTCACGTTTTTGACCGTGAGAGACTAGGGCCTAGGCTCATCAGCGTCTTTAGCCTGAGCACAGAAACAAAGTGCACAGCTGCCTGACAACTTTGGGTTACGGAAGGGAACACCTAGCATTTCCTCCTCCTGGCTTCTGGCAAATGCCTGCCTACTCGTCCTTCCAGCTTCCGCTCAAAAGTCACGTCCTCCACACACCAGTAGCATTTTCTACCGCTGACAGACACTAGGCACGAGACAATGATTGTATCCGATTCATCTCCACGTGACCCCTTGGCGCTACGTAGTAAGTGCTCAATTAAAGCTCAAGCAATGAATAGAAACATTCCAACATCCGGCGGGAGAGTCCCGGCAGGGATTCCTCGGAACCAACTCCGCCTCTCCCGGGGTAGGACCCCAGCGGCCGGCGCTGCGTCACGTAAACTCACCGTGGTACCCAGAGCACAGCCCCAACCAGCCCCACCTCCTCCGGAGCGGGTCCAAGTCTTCGGAACCGCCCACCGAGTGGCGAGCTCCATCCCCACAGCCCCACCCCACACAACGTAAAATCGCCCTAGCGCCTCTCTTGGCGTCACCTCGAGGGCCGCGCCGCCCGCGATTGGTCAAACGTGACATAGCGCCATCTCGGCCTACCGCGCGTGCGCGCCTTCATTGGCTGGTGGCGGGTGTGGGCGGGCCTAAGCGTAGGACGTGCAGGGCGGGGCGGGCTCGCTCCCGGTAGCCACGCCCCCTGGTACCTAGCGTGGGCTGAGAGCTTCCAGCTTTGAGGTGCGTGGTGCCCCGAGACTAGTGAAGGGAGCGCGGCGGTTACTCTGGTTACTACGGAAACGCCGCGCAGGCGATGCTGCTGGAGACGCCGTAGGGAGCCGCCGCCACCGCCCTCTGGGGGAGCTCACTGGAGACCTCCGTCCACCGCGGGGAAAAGAGGTCGCGGACCGGAAGGTTCGGAGGCTGGCAAAACGGGATCCGCTGCCAAGGAGAACTTCTCGAGGTAGGGGATGCGCTTCCCTGTCCTTGAGCTGCAGCCTTGAAACCAAGTCCTTCTTTGGAGGGGAGAAGGCAGCTCGGCAGTTTCCCCCTTGACCGTGGTCTGCGCACCTGGCTGTCCCTCCGGGAGAGGAATCTGACTCTGCGCTTGCCCCGGCAGCGCTATCTTAAGAGGAGAGGCGGCATTTGTCGCAGAGTCAAGATATTTCTTTGATTCCCCTCCCCCCACCTCATTCTCTCCTCCGAGGACACCTGATGCTGGTGAGAGAGAACAGTTTTACAGCACGACGAGCCAACATCAGAATTAAAAATATCGCCCGCGACAGCGCCCAGGAAAAACCCATCTAAAAAAAAAGTGGAAGAAATGGATTGCCTGAAAGAGGAGAGTCTAACTGTTGGAACAGGTGATTTTTAAATACTACTTTCTAAGTCCCGTACAACCTCCTCCCTTTCAGATACTTTTATACTAACTTTTTTTATGATTTTCTAAGTCTGACTTGAATTGTAATCCTGTGACGGTGTTTACGAGAAGTTGGGCCGGTTCCCCGTGTCTCTTTTGGGAACACATTTTGGGGAGAACCTTCGATCACCAAAACCCTACAAGGAAAACAAGATCTCAGCATCAACCGGTGCTACCAAAGGAGGCCTTGAACCATGTGGACTTTTCTTGGCCTTGCCACTTTCACCTATTTTTATAAGAAAAGCGGGGACTTAATCACTTTGGCCAACAAGGAGCTCTTGTTATGCGTGCTGGTCTTTCTTTCGCTGGGCCTGGTACTCTCCTACCGCTGTCGCTACCGAAGCGGGGCCCTCCCGGGACGCCAGCAGAGTGGATCCCAGTTCGCAGTCTTCTTGGATATTCTGTCAGCTTTGCCTTTCATTGGCTTCTTCTGGGCCAAATCCCCCACGGGAACAGAAAATAAGGAGCAGCTCGGCTCTAGGAAGGTAGGTTGAATTCAAAGTGGGCAAATGATGAATGTCTTATTTTAAATTTAGGATTGGGGTCATTCAAATGTAACTCTTTCAAGGACAAAAGGCAGCAGCTTAGATACTCTGGTGTTTGGATTCTCATTTGGTTGGGTTTTTAAAAAGATTTTGACTGTTCTTGACACTCTTAGGAATGATTTGAAAACATTAGCCTTCGCTGAACCATGGCTAAATGAACTTTATTTGATTATGAATAGTGATTTGATTATGAAAGGGGAAATGAAATGTTAGAATTTCATTTTGAAGGAGGACAGTCATTTTCTGTGTTGGGAAAAAAAATAAACGTCATTTAAATCCCAGGTACAAAGGACGGTATGTGTACCTGGGATGAAAGAAACCTGCTGCTGATAAGTCCCCTATCTGGAAGTATCAGCTGGCTGGGGAAAGTGACAGAGCAATTTGAAAAACTGGTGGAGTAAAAATGCTCAGCATTTTAAAACCAGGGGCAAAACGCCCTCCTCTACCCACATCAGTGGAGCCTGGAGTAAATCAATGGAGTGGTGTCCTGGTCAGGTGAATAATTTGAGTACATGTCTACAGTGCATTCATGTACCCAAAGGCTGGGTCTTCAAATACATGTGAAGCTATTATGATCCTTGCAAAAACAGCAGAGGACAGTGGTATGAGATGCGAGAGGAGAGGCTATGGAGGCCGCAACATTAAGGGGCCTTTTGGCCATGGGTATTTAGACTTTTTCCTAAGTGCACTGGAGGGTTTTAAGCATGGGAGTAACAATATTCGCTTTTTACTTTTTAAAAAGAACATTCTAATTGCTGTTTGGCACATAGATTGTAGGGGGACAAGAATGGAAGCAAGGCTATGAGGGAAGAGACTCCAGCAGTAGACCAAGTGAGGGTCGATGGTGACTTGGAGTTGGGGTGAGTGGCCTCCAAAGTAATGTACTCTTTCAGGGTTCCGAGTCAACATCATTTTACTCTGTCCAAAGTACACATTAGCAAGGTTTACAGAAGGGACTTGATAGAAGTTTTGCTCCACCACTTTTGGATGTGAGGCCTTTGGCCAGTTGCTTAGTTTCTTTAAGAATCAGTTATCCCTTTTGTTCCGGGAGATGGCAGCAGCCTTGCTTGGTAGTCAGGGAATTAAATGAATGTTTGCAAAATGCCTGATCCCTAACTGTGTAATAAATAGTAGCTATTAGTGTTAGTCTAAAGGTAGGCTCTGTCAGGAGCCTTTTGAGTAGTGCTGCCTAAGTTCACTGTTATGGTAGGTGTGGGCTGGAGTTGTCTGAGATAACTTTCTTCAGGGTCACTGAGCACTGACCAGTCCATCATGCTATGTGGACAGATCTTGGGGTGCATTGGGTTGGCAAACAGTCAGTGTTGGTTCCACTTGTGAAGGTCTCAGGCTTTCTGCCCATTTCTCATAAAGTAGCAAGTTGTTAGACTGAATGGAGTACTAAGTTTCCATTAGTGCTTTGTCTCCTGGCCAGGCTCTGAAAGACTTGATTTCCTCCAGAGTTCCCTTTCCAAGATGGTATGTATGCGTTTCACAGGGAAAACTTCAGAACAAAAACTAATAAAACATGGCTAAGATGACAAAAGCTTATCTTGTTCTCAAAATAATAATTTAAATACAGTCAGTTATTCTGGCCGTTAAGAAATCTGTACTGATAGGAAGAAAGACTATTGTCTTCTCTTGGTGAAGGACGAAAAGATGATTTCTCTAAGAGAAATTATAAAAAATGGAAAGGACAAGTCTATTATGGAAATAAAGGAAAGCTGAGTAAATATTAGAATCACAGAGAATTAAAATTCTAAAGGATTTTAGGATTTATCTCCCATTTTTTTTTCTCGAGATCTTTTATTTAAAACCACTTCAAAACGGTATTTAGTCTTAATCATTAAGGTCAGAGAACTCAAGGAAGATGGTTCTTTGCACTTCTGTATCTGAAATGTATTCATATTTGTGAATATACACGTCCCACCCCTCAAAAAAAATACTGATTATGGCAGTGAATTGCTCATTCCAAAAAACCCAAAACAGTCACTGTTATTCTCAGTGGGCATAAATCTCTCAAAACAGGACTTTTTCATCTTATGATTAAAGTTACAATTTTTATTGTAAGCCCAATTAGCGAAAGGCTTAATGTTTGTCCTTATTCGGAGGACCAACTAGACATCATCGGCCGGGCTCTCGTAGAGTATCAGATTGGAGGAAAGGAAAGGGGTAAATTATAAATGTTTTTATATGTTAGGGACTAACATTATGAACAGGTCAAGTCCCAAGGGACAGAATGAATTATTTTGTTCTTTTGGAATTTTGTTGAGTTAAATGATTCTCAACTAGCAGATGAGAAGCCAGAATTTGATGATCTTTTTGTTATGTAAAAATGATTTTAGATTTAGATTTTCCAGATGATCTACATGGAGAAAATAAAGATGCTGAATAGTTTGCAACATGAAGTCAGAAGTTGTATGTGATTTGCATCTGGTAAATGTTCAGTAGATATTTGAAGAATTGAGTAGTTAATGATAGAATTTTCCCTATAGTGAGTCTTTGAAGCCCCTTATACACCCTTTTTATCTTTGGCCTGGTGTGGATTTTGAAATATGTTTGTATCACAGCATTTTCTAAATACCATACTTGGAAAAGGAATATACATTTCATTTTATTGGGATATTATTATACATTTTTATTTATCAACATTTTGATATCATTGGTTTTTATAATTTAGATTTAAAAACGGTGGTTTATTTGGTTCGATAATGTTTAGGGTGTAGTTTTTTTCCAAGATGCGAAAGTCCAGTGTGTCTTTAGCAGTAGTATGATTTAAGGATGACAAATGTGGATACATAATTCACTTTTTTTTTTAAATAGTGCGAAAAAGGAACCGGTATTTCAGAAACCACCTTAATAGAAGCAGCTGCCTCTACATCGATATCTTCTCAAAATGATCCAGAAGTTATCATTGTGGGATCTGGTGTACTTGGCTCTGCTTTGGCAGCGGTGCTCTCCAGAGATGGAAGAAAGGTGACAGTAATTGAGAGAGAGTTAAAAGAGCCTGACAGGATAGTTGGAGAATTTCTGCAGCCAGGTGGTGTTTGTGTCCTTAAAGACCTTGGTCTTGAAGGTAGGTTCATATTGAGTTTTAGGAGTTATGTGGTATAAACAAGTACTGTTCACTTTAGACTGTCCTGTCACTGGTAAAAAGGTATTCCATTTTATTTTCATCCAACAAAGCTACTTTTAAGTGCAATTAAAAAGTATAGCAGGAAACGATTTTAGTTTGATCTTAGCATAGGCATGTGCTAAGTTTTTCTTTCATTAGAAATGAAATTATTTTAATGTACTTTATCTTAATACATTATATTTTAATGTATTGAAACATAGTATGGGACAATACACCTGCTAAAGTCAACTTTTTCACTTAATGTAAACATATTTCTACTACTGTTAACCATTTTTTCATTATAATTGTAAGCCTATGCAAAGCATTTTCTCGATACTTCATAATATACTTTACCTTTCTAACTTAGATTAATACTTAGGTTATTTTCAGTGTTTCTTTATTAGAGATAACACTATAGTGAACCTATTCTTGTGTATAACTTTAAAATTTATTAAAACTCAAAAATTATATCTTTAGGGTGAATTTCTTAGTTGAATTTCCAAGACTAAGATTATTAGATCAAAGGATGCTTACTTCTTTGTGGTTCTTGGTAATTATTGTTTTAGTTACTTTCTAAAATGTTATTAGTTTATAGCCTGACAAATAATATATGAATTTATCAGTTGTATTCATTCTCACCAGCAGTTTTGATGGATTTGCTGTCTTACTGTTTTAATTTTATTTTGTTGACTCTTTCTTAAATCCAGTTTTGAACGTTTTCCTTGATTTGTTCAATGTTTCTATATGGTTTAATGTGAATCATCCATATACTTCCTGTCCATTATTATTGGGGTCTTAATATTTTTCTCCACATGGTATCATAGCGTTTTGAAGACAGAGACTCTTTCCATGCCTCCACGTCCTCTTGGTGCCTAGTGTAACTCTGGGCATATCAACAAAATTGATTTACTTTTGAACTGAATTGTTTTGCAGATACAGTGGAAGATATTGGTGCCCAGGATGTAGATGGCTACATGCTTCATGATCAGGAAAGCAAATCAACTGTTCATATTCCTTACCCTCTATTAGAAAACAATCAAGTGCAGAATGGGAGGGCTTTCCATCATGGAAAGTTCATCATGAGTCTCCGGAAAGCAGCCATGGCAGAGCCCAAGTAAGGCTACAGCTTCAAATATATGATGTTAAAGAATGAACACATTTAAACGTGGCCTTTGTGCAAATACTATTTTATAAATTTTCATAAGTGTTTGGGTGTGAGCTAGACCATAGGTCTTATACTAAAATAAACCATAAGTTAGAAGAGCGTTAGATCTTTTCAGTACCTTTGTTGAAAACATATAGAGAATTTTTATTGGAATGGTATGGAACTATTGAGAATTTTTTTTTTGACTAAATTGTGTGATTTTTATGTGGTTGGAATTTAGAAGACATAGTTGTTATAACTAGGGTGTAAGTCCCATGCATGCCCATTTGGGAGATGGGTTTGTGGCTACGATACTGCCTTTTAAAAGTCAGGACGGAGGCTTTCAAGGGGAAATTCCTGTTACATTCTTATGAAAGACCTAGTCTAACAGGACTGGCTTCTCTTAAGTATTAATTAGTATTTGCCTCTAGTCCTTAAATACTATAATTGAGGAAGTTTTAAATATGAGAACCCTTATGTCATTGGCGTAGGCTTAAGTGTTGACAAAGCAAGTGAAGAAGTGGACTTATCCTTAGGACTGAAAGGATTTGATATTTATGGACATAGAATAATGTTTATTGTAGAAAAATGGAAAAATGCTCCCAAAATATAAAGAAGATTCTAAAAATTACTCATTATCCTTCTGACTAGAAGTAATTACTCTGAATAATTTGGCAGATAAACTTTAATTCTGTTTACCCATCTAAGTATGAATTGGTATGGGTATGTAAAGTTTTTCTGCATGTATTTTTTTAATGAATTAAGATAAAATTTTGTTACATTTAAAAATACTTTTTAAGTCATTAAATTAGTAATATATATTCAATTTTAAGAAATTGGAAAATAAAAACCACACACAATTCTAAAACCTTTAAGTGTTTTTGCTCTTTGTCATTCCAGACCCTTTTCTGTATATGTGCGTGCACCTACATGCATGTTCTGTTTATGTGGGTAAACTGGAGATAAGGGATAAGGAACTTATGATTCCTTATCTAAATTGCTCAAGAGTGCTATAGAATTTCTTTGTTTATCTTTTAGTACAAAGTTTATCGAGGGCATTGTGCTGCAGTTACTAGAAGAAGATGATGCTGTGGTTGGAGTTCAGTACAGGGACAGAGAAACTGGAGACATCAAGGTGAGACATGTCAAATGTTAGCTTTTCCTAAGAGATTTTCCCCTTTCTTTTTCTCCTACTCCTTTAAAAAAGTAGGCTCACCAAATTATTATCCAGCAAATGGACTGAGTTCTTTCTAAGCTCTGTGCTAGAAAGAATAAGATAGATTTCTGATTGTAACACATCGCTCTTTAGAGCACTTCGGAATGCTATAGTTATAACTTTGTAAACAAACACCACTGTATTAACAGTATTAAAAACTGAAATAAATATAAACTCGTGGAGAAGCAGAGGGGAACTAGAAGGTGAAAAAAGGAAGGATTCAACATAAAGAGTTGATTAGGATAAAATAAAGAACTATTTAAATCAGAAAGGCAAATATAAGAGACTCTCTGGGGAAATAGCAGAATACAATAGTTCCCAATAGCTGGTTGCTCATGTGGTCTAGTCAAAGGCGAATCTGTTGATTCATCTGGGCTGTTCTGTAGGGTCACCACCTCCTAGAAATTGTACTCAAATGAGGACGAGTGCAAGGTAATGTAAATATGTACATACATCCATGTGTATAAAAATTCTTCTAAGCCCTAACCACTGATTTAAAGCACTTTGTGAAGTTAGCTCTAGAATGAAAGCATCGGATGAGTCCTTTGAATTCGTGATGAGTTTCAGTATTCTATGAGCCATGCTTGCTTTGTAGTTCTTTTCCCCGATTTTTATCAAAATGTAGCTTAATCCCAGATGATTTGGGTGGTTGAGCCTCGAAGGAAGGTGATCTCAGGGACTCAGAGGATGTGCTCCAAAGATTGGTCATGTGTGAACTTAAACCCACGTAACAGCTTTTTCGATAGCGTTATCTTCAAATACTCTCTTTAATGTTATGTGCCAGTATATTTAAATCCATTCATGCACATTTTAAAAGGATGGTCCTTTTACTGTGTATTTCTAACCATTTAGCTGAGTATTCTTTATCTTTGTTGTAGGAACTCCGTGCTCCATTGACTGTTGTTGCAGATGGACTTTTTTCCAAGTTCAGGAAAAATCTCATCTCTGATAAAGTTTCTGTTCCATCTCATTTTGTTGGCTTGCTTATGAAGGTACTGTAGGACTAATTGTAGAAAAATAAAAAGCAACTTGAAATTTGGAAATTATTAAAATATTTTATTTTATTTTTTTCTAGAATGCACCACAGTTTAAAGCAAATCATGCTGAACTTGTTTTAGCTAATTCAGGTCCAGTTCTCATCTACCAGATTTCATCTAATGAAACTCGAGTACTTGTTGACATTCGAGGAGAACTGCCAAGAAATTTAAGAGAATACATGACTGAAAAAATTTACCCACAATTACCTGGTAAGAAATAGGATTTCACTCCTATTGTAATCTATAGTTTGAAAGCAAAGCTCACTTAAAAGCCTTTCTATCTCTAGTTCTCACTAAAGCTGTGTCTAAAATAGGCCAGAGATGAGATTGGCAGGTGAAAAATGCATCCATCCAGTCAATCAGATACACTGGCGCTGGATTATTTATTTAAACTAGCACATAGAAAAAAAATCTCCAAATTAAAAAAAAAAAGTTTCAGTATATTTTTTCATATCAATAATTAAAGCAGTTTTCAGAATAATTATTATCGACAAAATTTTAATATTTTTAAAAGTGTGGATAGCGATCTAAGGTCTGAATTCTTGAAATATTTCTTATACTGAATTACTTTTATGCTTGGTTTTGTGGTAATGGTAGCTACCGTTTATTGAATGTTTACCATATAAGAGGTGTTTTATAAACGTAATTTCATTTAATCTATACAACTGCCCTGTGACATAGGCATTATCATTATCTATCCCCATTTTACGGATGAGGGAACCATGATTCAGAGAGGTTACTTTGCTTCTATATTAGTGAATGGCAGAGCCAAGGCTGAGACCAGGCCCGTCTGGCTCATACCTTCCTGTCCTCAGCACGTGAGAGCTGTAAGGAGCCTGTGAGATCATGTTAGTTTTGAGTTGAACACAGAAAGTCTTAATGAGATTTCAGGCATCTTTGTAAAAACATAAACTTTATGTTTTTTTTTCTTTTTTGAATGGGAAGATCTGAATAAGAAAGAAATGTAAAAATTGTTAAGACTAGGTAAAATGGAAACCCTGCTTGCCAGTTATAGTAATGGAAAACTATGCTTGGTGTAAGTACATTTTGTTTAAGTGTTGTTTTTTTCAGGTTATTTTTTTTTTAAAGTGAAAGCATTCCGTTTACTAACAGAATATTAACAAAGTGAAATGAAGTTCTACATGGACCAACTTATATTTTTAATGACATTTTCAACATTTTAGTATATTTTCATGCAGTTAAACCATTTTTGAAGCTTTCAAATGGAAAAATGAATTATGCATATTTAGGAAAAGGATAGTCAATTACCCATTTTTTTAGCATTTTTTTCTTTTACTGTAGATTGTTTTTTCCAATCCAGAGGTTAATTGGAACAGACTACTCTGAGATACTGGGGGGAAACGATTTCTAGATTTATATTAATACGAGGTTATTGAAATTCTGCTCCTTGCAGGAATAGAATGGTTTCAACATAGGCATTCTGCTCCAGATCTGTATCTCCAGATTACACTGGGAACTGTATGAAAAGAAGGTTAATTTTTTATGCAAGTAGAAGCACAAAACTTTAAGACTGGGAAGTACCTTAGGGATAAGCTAATCCAACCATTTCATTTTATAGATGAAGAAACTAAAGCTTAGAAAGGTAGAGCTCTCTACATGTTATCCTTTTTCTAGTGTACATACCTTCCTGCTATTTGGGAATTGGTAGTAGATTTCATCTGGTATTACCAGAATATGGTGATGACAATACATTGTTAAATATGACAGTTGTCATTTAACATTTGGAAGAGAGGTGGTTGGTTTTCTCCCTATCTCATGTGATCCAAATTTCCTTCACTCTTCATCTAGTTTTTTATTCATTCAGACGTATGTCTATTTACATTGGTTTTCTCTTAGATTCCTTCCTTAGCATGGATAACTAGATGCTTAATAAATAATTTTGTCAATAAATAATTAGTTTTTGATTTATCACAAGGGACATGTGTAACAACCATAACAGATGTATAGTAGGTATTTGTTTATACTTGATAAGAAAATGTGATAATTGGAAATTGAAATGTAGTAAACCATTTCTTCGGTGGGGTGGGATTTATTGCAGATCACTTGAAAGAACCATTCCTAGAAGCTGCTCAGAATTCTCGTTTGAGGTCCATGCCAGCAAGCTTCCTTCCTTCTTCACCAGTAAATAAACGAGGTATTTTATTAAACTTATTGTGTAAGGGGTATTCCAAATATTCACATTCAGTATTCCAAATGACATATACATGATTAAATTTATATTGCTGGATTAATGCATTACTAATACCAACATTAGTTTTACAGTGTCTTTAGTTATTAATAATGGGCGTATATAAATCACTGCTAGTCATTGGGGATATAACAGTTAAATATCGTCCTTGATCTAGAGAAGGCAATTTTTTAGTTAGGGATATAAACATAATTTTGAAACACCTTTGATAAATGCTGTAGTAAAAACCCACTCATGGTACTGCAGATTCACTATGAAGCGGGTGTACAAGAGGGAGGGGAGCTTGTGAACTAGAAAGAGAATAGGGAAGATACTGCTCAGGAAATAAAGCTGGAGTTGGGGCATGGAGAATGAGTAGGGGTTCATTATGTGGACAGTGAGACAGGGACTTCTAAATAGACTGAATGACATCTGCAGTGACCTTGGAAGGCTGAGAAATGGTGACACTTTGAACTCAAGTAGTTTCCTATGGCCAGAGTATAAGATAACACGAGAGTGGTAGAAAGGTAAGATATTTATTTAACATTTAGTTTTAATCCTATAGACAATGAAATTCATTGACAAGGTTTTTTTATAATAGCTTTACAGAGATAACTCACAAATCATACAGTTCACCCATTTAAAGTACACAACTCATTAGTTTTTAGTATACTCAGGTATATGCAACCATCACTACAATCAAGTTTAAAACATTTTTATCACTTTAAAAAGAAACTCGTACCCATTAGCAGCCCCTCATTTTCTCCCAACCTCTAGCCCCAGGCAACCAGTAATCTATTTTTTATGTATAGATTTGCCTCTTGTGAACATTTCTTATACATAGAATCATACAATATGTGAACCTTTGTAACTGGGTCCTTTGAAGTTCATGTTGTAGCATGTATCAGTTCTTTATTTGCCTCATTTGCTATTATAGCCAAATAATATTCCACGTGTGACTATATTACATTTTGATTATCCATTCATCAGTTGATAGACATTTGAGTTGTTCCATTTTTTGATTATTATAAACAATGCTTCTGTGAACATCTGTGTATAAGTTTTTGTGTGGACATCTGTCTTCATTTTTCTTGGGTAGCATAATCTGAGTTCTCTCTTTATAGGTGTTCTGATTTTGGGAGATGCATATAACATAAGGCATCCTCTTACTGGAGGAGGAATGAGTGTTGTTTTTAATGATATAAAAATATGGAGAAAATTGCTAAAGTCTATCCCAGACCTTTATGATGATGCAGCTATTTTGCAGGTGAGGTATTAAATTATTCTTTGATGAAAATGTCTCAAAATAGATTTTTTTTGTGAGGCCTACGAGGACTGGAGCTTTGATGGAGAGATCTGTATGTAAGAGCCTGACTCCTACCAATGGTTTTTTAGGCAGTCTTACTCAAGCTTAAAGAACCTGACTTGTAACCTGTCAGTCATAGAATTTCTAAATTTCTGAATTTGAATATTTTGTAACACTGGATTGCATGGACCATTTTGCTTATAGTGATTTTAAATTTAGCTTCAGGGTCACATAACTCATTGCTCAGGAGATTTTTTTTTTTTGGTAAATGGTAAGCATAAGGCATAACTACTTGTACATGGACTATAAACATCAGTTGGTGCTTTTTTTTCTCCTTACCATATAGTTTTGTTTTTTTTAGGCCAAAAAATCATTCTATTGGACAAGAAAAAGGTCTCATTCCTTTGTTGTGAATATTCTTGCTCAGGCTCTTTATGAATTATTTTCAGGAGCAGATGGTAAGTATAGATATTTTTAATAAATATTGAATTGCAGATTTTTAGCACAGGAACGGAACTTAATTACAAAAAAGTTAGTGATTAGGCCGGAAATAGAAATGTTTCCTGAGTTTGTTGACTCTCAAGTTGGTAGTCCTTTTTAACTCCATCCTTGAGCAAAATTTTTAGCTTCTAATCATTGTGTATCTGTGTTAGACAAGGCTGTTGTCTTCTCTTAGAAGTGACCTTAAACACAGTGCTTCTATAATGTATCATTATTTTTAATCCCTGTGGTCCAAAACAGATCATGCATATTTCCAAATGCATAAGATTGCGATGACCTTTCTGGTCAGGAGTTAAAAGACAATGTGATTGTTCATCTTCTTCTTCCCGAACAAGTGTCATTTTCTTCTCATAGTAGCATTTTATAAAATGAATATGACCTTCAGATCACGTTTGCATTTTGTCCCCTGGTAAAATCTGTGCTCATTTGAAATATTCCCATGCTTTTGCTTCTGGGTCGTCTGTATTCAGTGTAGAGAGGTGGTGGTCAGTCTGCATCCTAAGGAAAGCACGGCTCAGCAGCAGCAGCGTTAGACATAGAGTGGAGGCGACTGTGCCGCCTCCCAACTACAGCTGTGTACAAGTCAGTTCATGGTAGGTTAATGAAACTAGACCTTTAGGTTTTTAAGAATAGCCATAACTCAAATCCCATTACTCCAGATATTTACAAAAACGATTTCTATGACCTGGCTAAAGCCCTAGTGATCTGGTTTGGTGATTTGATTAAAGAGGATGATACAGTACAAACTGCCTTCTGTAGCCTCTATAACCATCGTTTTCACTAAAAGAAAAAACAACTTATGAATTGTGATTTGCCAAATTTTTTTTATGAATTGGCAAGGAAGTTAAAATGGCTGGTTGGGCAAATAAGAAAAAGAACTAAGTTATGAGTTTTCTAAGCTCTTTTTAGTTTTCGAGTTTCTTAAATTAGGAATTGGAATCTGCCAACCAAACAACAAAAACAGTTTCGAAAGATTAGAGGAGGAAGGAGCTTTATTGGAGTACAGATTTACCTATCGCATCGTTTTTTATCTGTAGTAAAAGAACAATCTAAGCATATCTGGAAAGAACATTGATTCTAAACTATTAAAATAGGTATTGGTTGATTATGTTGTGAGGGGTTAAAGAATTATTTTGAGAAGTGTACAAATCTATGCATTATTATTTTTCACTGTTCACAGCTGTTCTTTTTACTTGATAATTTACTGCTCCAAGGTTTGGGTTGGGCATCTAGACAGGGAATTTGGTTTCCAGAATTGTGATTTTATAACAAAAAGAGTTTATAAACTATTTGACATCATTTAATGAGTTTATCAGTAAAGAGTTTTTTTTCATGTATATCATTAGCACCCTAAGTGTGCAAATATTTCGTTTGAGAGTAACCTTAAAATTTTATCTTAGATTCTCTACAGCAACTAAGAAAAGCCTGTTTTCTGTATTTCAAACTGGGCGGAGTGTGTGTTGCTGGTCCTGTCGGGCTGCTTTCTGTGTAAGTTGTTTTGATGACGCAAAGGAAACAGATTGTACAGATATTTTTTAGAATTGTTCAGTTTATGAATTACTGCCAATCTTTCTTTCTTATGTATTTTGTCATTTTATTATCTGTTAGTCTCCAAATAGGAAGGAAGCCCAGAGAAATGGAAAAAGGCAACATTTAGTCCTGTGTTTTCCTTCTGGGAAATAGTGTTGATTAGAAGTTGGTTGTAGATGAGGCTAAAACCCTTGATTAAAATAGAAGCTAATTTTTTTGCCTTTGTGTTTCTCCATATGATCTGATCTTTGGGAGCCATGGATGGATGAGAAATTTATATTTAAAAATTAATGTGATCGGGGACTCAGGAAACTCAGTAATAATTTTGACGGTACAAACGTTAAGTCTTCTCATCCATCTGAATGTCAGTACTGTACTGTTTGGAAAAACCTAGACTCCAACAGACTGGGCCATTTGGGGACTTCGTACTGGGTCTCGAGATCCGTGAAAGAAAACAGCTCAGAACCTACAACTGGTGTAAACTACACTAAGAGGAGTTACCTGCTAGCTGCTTGTAAAAATATTTTCTAAAAATTTGTTCTGACATCAAACTTAGCAGGTAGACACAAGCTTATAAAATCCTCCAAAACGGAGAATATGTTTAGCTTATAGATGATATATAATTAAACTTTTTATAGTAAATTTGAATTACTGGGTCTTACCTATTTTTTTTTTTTTTTCTATTACAGACTGTCTCCTAACCCTGTGACTTTAATTAGACACTTTTTTGCTGTTGCAGTCTATGCCACGTATTTTTGCTTTAAATCGGAACCTTGGATTACGAAACCCCGAGCCATTGTCAGTAGTGGTGTTGTATTGTACAAAGCATGTTCTGTGCTATTTCCCCTAATTTACTCAGAAATAAAGTACTTTGTTCATTCAGCTTAAAGGGGAACCACTTGTGAATGAATATTCGGAAGTCACCAAGTCCTTAGACACTGCTGGAAGATTTACACAGCATTGTACTGTACCAGTCCTAAAGCAGAAACTCTTGGACCAAGATTGGGAATAATCTGTTTCTGAAATAATTTGTATATAAACATGTAAATATATACTTTAACTTGCGATTTAAAATGAAGAGTCAAATAAGATAGAATATTTAAAAGAAATGTTGTTACCATAGAATAGTGCCAATACTGAGAACAGTTTTTCTTTTGAAGTTGATATTCGGGATTAGTTATTGTGGGACACAAATAAAATGGCAACTGAACCCTCATGTCTTCCTGTTTCTTGTCGTGGACTTCCTCACACAGCTTCGTGACGACGGAAAAGAAAACCACAGTGGGAGGTGGAATGCAGGGACGCTTGTCTGTTAAATGACTCCGAAGCTCGGAAAGTTGCCTTAATGTCTCTGGACCTCATTTTCCTCATCCATCCAGTGAGGCATTTTGATAAAGTTCTTTTCTGAGTTCTCTGAAAATACCACTTTCTTACAGGAAGCAACCAAGGGCTGGCAAATTCTACCGTGTAACATTAACAAGCCAGTCTAGGATTATTTCAAGAGACAGTGTGAATGAATAAGTAAGCATTTGTAATACCTGGCATAATGCCTTAAAATCAATTAGATCTTACTGAGTTTACAGTTTATTTGAAGAAATTATAGACATTCAGAGGGACTCATGAGACTTCAGTAAATCCCCAAATATCACTAAACTGCTACCCCTGAAATCAGAACAGTAAAATATAACCTGAACTATTAACGACTTCAGAGTCTAATTAAGGTTAAATGACTTGTAAAGCTTTTATAATAAAAATTTCTCCTTTTTAACTTTTAATTTTATAGTCGAAAAAATTTTTCACTGGCTGAATCACTAGTCCAATCAGTTGCATATATCTATCACTTTGCCTTGTGTTAAAGCAGAAGGTCTGGTGGACAATTTCATTCTCTTGGTTCATGAGATATCCTCTCATTTATCCCCAAGTTCTATTTTCTGTTTAAAAACTCACTTTCTTATTAGATCTGGCCTGTTGAGCAGCCGGCTTGCTTTGGGAGGCCATTTTCCCAGAGAACTCATTTCATACAGTTACTGTCAATTACAAATGGAAAACACATTTTTGAGATGTAGAGGTTGGATGGCTACTGGGCTTACTAGCTGCTTCCCATACACCAGCCTCCCAGGGGGTGACACAGCTCCTTACTTGCCAGGCAACAACTGGCTTCAAAATCTGCCTCTCAGGTGGGGCTGTGAGGCTCCTGCTCCCCTCTGCTGACTAGATGCCTTTTAAAACCTTTTCTACTATGGTGGTGAAAAAAATCAAAACCTGTAAGGTCACCTTTTTCTGTTAGTATTTTAGAATTTGAGGCATTCTGACAAAAGAAATAACTGGTCATAAAATCAGAAGATAAAGGAGCTTAAGAAATCATGGGGCGCTGGTTTCACCGCTGATGTCAGGAGGCTGGTTTGGGACAAAGTTTAGCTGGTGGCAGAACCAGGACTCAGCAGGACTCAGACTGTGCCTCGTAACAAAGCTCACACCACAGTTCCTGGATGTTCTGTTTTTTTTTTTTTCTTGTTTTTTTTTTTTTAACTTGTTTTTCTCCTCTCCAGAGGAGGACATAGCTATAAAGTCAGGGTCAGGGCTAAAACATCTTTATTGATCTTTTCCGGCTGCCACAATAGGATGGCAGTGCCCTTTTTAGGGTAATTTTTATGCAGAAGTGACAGGATTTGGGGAGGGGGAGTTAAAACCTAATGATAAAGCTGTTACCAAAAAAAAAAAAAAAAGCAGTGGGAGTAGGCTTATGGTCTGCAGCCTGGTGCAGGGACTGGGGAGGGGGCAGGCTTGGGTTGCTGAGGAAGGAAGGAAAAGGTGGCAAGCGCAGCTGGAGTTAGGGAGTCCCACAGAAAGGATGATGGGGGACCCCGGAGATCGGAGGAGGAGGAGGATGGTGAACCTCAGACACCAAGAAACTTCCGTGGTCTGTGCTGTCACTACATTTGCTACCAGTCTGGCTATCAGCATGTGCCTGCCAGCCTGTAGTGGGTGTGTCCACAGAACCTACCAGATTCATCTCTGACCTTCCAGACAAGGTTTTTTGCAGTGAATACACACACATTTCTCGAACCATAAGCAGAAGTACAACTTTGGGTACTGGCAATTACTATTTTACTGAAAATCTGGAGTTACACAAATAGTTCTTTAGAGCACAAAAGTAAATGGATTTATACTTAATTACATTCAGCATTTATAAGAGGCGGTACAAAATGTGTTCTGCTTCTACATGATAAAACCGCTGAAATATATAATACCATGATTTAAACATTAATTTTGTGATCTAGTTCCATGGGATATGCATCTTACTCAAAATGCCTGATGTTTCCTACAACAAAGGGAAAAAAACATGCAGTTACATGAGCAGTTGAGTTTCATCTCTCAATTCATTTTAGTGATGGTGGGAAGACCTAAGGACAATACTTTTGTTTAAAGAAGTAGAAAAAAAAAATTACAGGATGGTTCTGAACTCATCAAAAATGAAATTAGGCACGTGTGCTTCAGCAACCTGAAAAAAAACAAAGGAGTTAAATTATTCATACTGCTGTCATTCAGAACAAGTCCAAGATTTTCCACATGAAAACTAAAGAAAGGAAGATAAATCCTTCGGAGCAAGGTGCATCACTGGGAAGCGCCGGACTCAAGGGGTGGCCCCTCCTTGAGACCACTGCCTCTGTTCCTGGTGTTCTAGAACCACCCTGGTATCTAATTTCTTTCAACTGCTAATGTCTGAGGGGTGCTGCCCAGGCCTCCCTCCCCCGCCTCCCCCAAAGGTGAGCTCCTTGGCTCTTAAAGGCACTTCGATCTGCTAGGAAGTACTAAGTGTTAATGTCTCGGAAAAACATCTGGCAAGTGACCAAGCCGCTATACCGAGCCGGAGCGGGAGGAGGAGGAAGGCCCAACAGGCTCCCGTTTTTAGCTGTTCTTAAGGGAAGCCCTAATGGTAGTGGAATGTGGTACTAGGTACTCTCCAGGCGCTGGGAACTGGTATTTTTTAAACGCAGTGTTTAACTTTTTTCTGATTATAAAAGTATCATCTGCTAATTCGAGGAAATTTAGCAAATGCAGGAGTTTTAAAAATTCTCAATCAGAGAAAACTAAAACTTAATTTATTTATATTGTATTGAATTCCTCCAGGTTACGCACACACACCCATACACAGTCACACTCAAAATCAGGATCATATACTCTTGAGTCCTTTACCTCTGTTAAATCTTATATTATGAACATCCTTGCATACATATCTTGGTGAACTTTTGTACGTATATCCAGCAGGTAAATTCCTAGCCATGGAATTGCTGGAATTAGGTAATAAAATTACAAAACTTTTTTTGTATTAGATAAAGCCAAATTTCTCTCCCCAAAGGATATGCCAACTTCACCCCCCGTCACCGGGACTGAGAAGTCCTTTCTTTAAACCTTTCTAAGCACTAGGAACTCAACATTTTACTTTTTACCTACCTGATGGGTGGAAACTAATTTTATTGTTATTTTGATTTGTGTCCCTTGAATAGAAGGTTGAGAATCTTTACAACTGTATATTGGCCATTTGTATTTCTCTTCTGGAAAACTTCCTGTTAATATCCTTTGCGCATTTTTTTTCTATTGGGATTGGGTCAGTTATCTTTTTCTTATTGGTGTAAACAACACACTATAAATCAAGGATACTGGTCCTCGGTTAATACTTTGTCCACTTTTAAATTGAGACATTTGACGAAATTATTAAACTACACTCAGCATTTATAAGAGATCAAATCTCTCCACCTTTTCTTTTTTGGTTTCCTATGGTGTTTTACATAGGAAGTTCTCAGAGCTGGTACATTAATTTTTGTCAAATATCTGCTAATTTGTTTTATTTTTCAAATTAATCTATCTGTAATTTATTTCAATACATGGGAGATGTGAAAAGATTAACTTGCTTTTTTTTTTAACTATATAATGAACTAAATGTCCCAGCACTATTGACTAATACACCCTTTCTCTCCTAATTTGAGATGCTGCTTTTCCTTACGTATGATTGGATGTGCTAGGATTTGTTTCTAGGCTACATATGCTAATCTATTTTTTTTAATCCTAGTCTATTGATCCATCTATTGAGTCTGATACCAGTACTACACTATTTTGATTTTTGTAGTTTTATAATATATTTTAATATTTGGGTTTTTTTTCACCAAAAAATCCTATTTTAGCCCAAGTCTTATAACATTTTTAAGAATGTTTTTTTCAAGTTAAAAAAATTATCTGAGATCTTAATCATAATTGCCGTAAACTTATAAACTGGAAAGAACTGATATCTCTATATCTTGAGTCTCCTCACTCAGAAACATGGACTTCCAAATTTTATATTTTAAAATTTTATAGGTTTTTCCTGAATTGTTCCTTCATATTTCTTGAAGAGGTTATTCTCAGCTATATTATTTCCTTGTTAATTATGTAAATAGGATCTTTTTCACATTTTATTAGAGTATTTATTTTACACATTAATTCTGTAATTGGCTTTTCTCAATTGTTTTTCACATGGTTCTACTGGATATTCAAGGAAGACAATCACCTCCTCAATAAACATAAATTTGTATTCTCTCCATTATACATATTTTTTGTTTCATTTCTTATTTTATTTTCTTGCACCTGCACAACAAAAGTAGCAGCTAGAGTCGCATCACTGTCATAGTCCTGATTTTAAAGAGAATGCCACTGGTGTTTGCTTCATTATTAAGTATAACGTTACTAGTTAATGACTAAACCATCTTTGTCTTTAGCTATAAAAAAGTAACCTACAAATTTTAAAAAATCAGAATGACTTCCTTTCAGCATTTATTGAAAGTCTTCTCTTTTTAAATATCAAGCTCTCCACTTTTGAGCTAAAACTTCCCACAGCAGAATTACTAGTAAGAAAGAAAAAGGAAAGAATTTCTTGAAAGGTAAAAAATAGTCTGTCATTTTAGGAAACAGCAATCAAATATAACTTCAGCAGTGGCATAAACTTAACCAGCTTATGGTGCAGAGGAAAGAACCAACTCCACTTGCCTATTTCTCGACCCTGGCCCCTTAAGGAACTCTCTCCTGGACCGCCCACCTTAACTCCTGAACTGGGCGAGTGGCTGATGGTGGGGAGGGCATGGCAGAGAGTGAGAGGAGTAAGTCGTATTAAACTCTGTCTTCTTGCAAAACCCTTCATGGCGGAGAAGAGGGGACATCTTAGAGCTGTGGGCAGAGCGAGGG